GAAAACAGGGAATTGGAGAGAGAAAGAAGGAACAGATGTGAGAGACATTGTGACCCTACAGTCCTCCATCGGTGCTTGGGTGAGGCGGGGGTGGGTCAAAGAAGACAAGGGAGTGAGATGAGCACGAAGATGGGGTAGTGGAGAGAAAGAGATTCGCAAAGCAAAAGCTGCTTGCATGTGTTGATTTATTTCATTCTCACACTAATCCTGCAAGGCCGGGATTATTTCCCATTAGTCAATGAGGAAAGTGAGCTATGAGTTAAGGTCACGTGCTCAAGGCTACACATCGGTTTCTTTGCATTTGCTAGTGGCAAAACTAGGGGGTAGAGGGCAGGGATGCTGCTCAACATCCGACAGTGCACAGGACAGGCCCCCACGACTAAGATTATCCAGCCCAGAATGTCAACAGTGTCGAGAATGGAAAACCCTGATCTAGACCGTCCTTGGGGGCGTGGACTGAATCTGAATTATTTTTGTACCCCGCATGTCTAGCACACAGAGTATGAGTTTAATAAATAGGGACTCAACAGAAAAGAAAGCAGGAAGAGGTGCTGCTTTATGGGAAGGAGGGGGGCCTCAGTTTGGAGCAAGTCAATTTTGAGAATTCAGCTGATATCCAGGGGTATTGGTATGGTGGCTGGAAGTCAGGAGAAAAGTTAGAGCTAGACATTTAGAGCCATTCATTCATCCATGAAACTTTTATTGGGTAGCTACTTTGTGGGAGGCACTGTGCTAGACGCTGCAGTGGCAGAGATGAGCAATACAATCTCTGGGCAGAAGAAGTTTGTGGTCCACAGGGAGAGGGAGACACATAAAAATAAATCTGTCATGAGCAGAGTCTTGTGGGAGTCCAGAGCATGGGCAACTAGCGCTGCCTGAGGAACTCATGGATGACGAGCATTGGCCGGAGACAGGAGGGGTTGGTAGAGATCTCTTGGGTAAAGAAGAACAGCGAGAGCTAAGGGGCTATTCCAGGCAGTGGGAACAGCTCGTGCAAAGAGAGAATGGTGCAAAAGCCTGGCTGGGCTGCAGTGAGAGGTGCGTGTGGCAGAGGAGTGAGCTGCATTGTAGGGAATAGCAGGTGAGACCAGAGCAGTAAAAGTAATCATTGATCTGTATTTGGAGAAGGGTAGGAAGCATCTACATATACCCATTTCTCCTTTTGGTAATAGTATTTCCATTTTCCTTAGAGAATTTTTTCAACTCCATTGTGTGTAGTCTCCATGGGACGGTACCTCCAGGTGCTCTGCCCTAGCCTGTTGGAGGGGCAGGCATGAGAAAAGCTAGACCAGTGAGACTTCCTCAAACACAATTTAAAATTCCAGGGCTCACAATACAAGTATTGCAAAAAAATAATTGAAGCTCATGAAGTTTAGCATCTGCATCCCAATGAGACTGTCGAGTAATTCTCGCTTCCCAAACCCCTGGAGCCGCCTGGGTTCTGACTTCTCGAAGCCGGGCTCTCAAGCCTTTCCTTCGACTCTGTGAGCCCTTTTCCTTAAGTTAGGCAGCCACTGTCTGTGTCTTGCAACCAAGGTACCTTAACTGATACAGTCAGGGAGGAAGACAGAGGGAGAGAGAATAAGACAGATGGCCTAAGGGGAGGAGGAGAACCAAGATAATGAATTGATAGAGAAGCCATAGAGGACTTTCATCATTTTCTTAAGAAAGGTAAAAAATAGCAAGGGTTCAATTGTCTATTTGGGGGTGTTGCAAAAAATACTGGTTGTCCCCCAGTGTCCATTCTTCCCTCCTTCCTCACTTACAGAGCCTCTCATTTTAACGAGGTACATGGTTGCCAAAAATAAGATGACCTTGCCCAGCCGCCCTTGCAACTCCTGTAAATGGCCGTGCAACTGACTTCTGGCCAAGAAGATGGCAGAGGACGTATCATGGGTAACTTGGGGAAAGCAGCCTAGAAATATGGGATCACATCCCTTTGTGTGGTTTCCTCCTTTATGTCACTTCCACCTTTCTGACTGGAAAGCAGAAATGATGTCTAGAGTATCACAGCCACCTTGGACTATAAGCTGCCATGCTAAACGTGGTAACGCGCAAGAGAGAAAGAACTTGAAGCCCTGATGATCATGGAACCACCATGTCAGCACTGGACTCTTTACCTCCAGACTTTACTTATGTGACGTAGACGTAAAACTTTATCTTGTTTAAAACATTATCTCTCTGGTGGACGTGTGTCTCACATGCAGCCAGACCCGATCCTAACTGATATGGGCATGGGGCGGGGAGAACGTCCCTACAAAATATAGTTCTGGTGCAATGGCTGTGCCCTACCTCCCATGCAGGATCCAAACCGGAAGGATCTTCTTTCTTCCTTTTCCCTGGATGCCAAGTCATGGGCCTGGGATCCAGGTTCTGCCATACGGATGCTCCCACTCAGAACATTGGATGTTCACTGATACAAAGACAAATGTGGTCAAGACTCCTGTGCAGCAGCCACATGGTGTCCCGTGCAATGAACACTGATTTCCTGTTAAAAAAATGCTTCTTAAACTGCCACCTTGTCTAGGCCAAGGGCTGCTGTCGTGTGCTGGCAAGGTAGTGTTGTTTGCTTTTTTAGTATAGAAGAGACTTAGGCATATCCCTGGGTAAAAGAAGAAATGGAAGATGGAAAAGAAAAAATGAGAGTCGTTGATGAAGCAAAGTCTCAGGACTGGCAGGTGAGTCATTGAACTGGAGTATGACACTTTCCTGTTGGACCTCTTCCCTGCTCTAAGTAATACTTAAGTGTTTGTTTCATAAGAGCATCCCTGGGCAGCTTGAGCTGTAAGGTGTAAGGTAGCATCCTACTCTCCTGGCACCAGAGCCTGAAAGGCCTGCAGCTTCACAGGAACCCATGTGAAAAGACCGGGTTCTGGTTAAGATGGCATACCTGGGATGTGTTGGAGT